CAAGGCCTCAGGTTTCCCCAGTCTTCTTTTAGCATATGAAAATCCTTTTGAAACTTCCCTTATCTTTACTTCCCCCCACCCCAAAGTATATCATCAGTTGCTTCTCACAATCCCAGGGCAGCAGCTCCTTCTGCCCATGGGTCCTGTCCCTGTGCTTTAATAAAACCACCATTTTGCACCAAAGACGTCTCAAGAATTCTTTCTTGGCCATTGGCTCTGGACCCCACCAAACACACCAATATCCAGAAACTACATCAGATGCAACCCCATCAATGATGAATGGAGAAGCAAAATGTGGTGTATCTGTACAATGGATTATTGGACAATAAAAATGAAGTACTGAAGCATGCTTTAACATGCACAGACCTTAAAAACGTTATGCTAACAACAATATCCAGAAGACCACACATTATATGATTTCATTTATCTGAAATGTCCCGGACAGGCAATTCTAAAGAGACAAAGTAGATTAGTGGTTGCCAGGGGCTGAAGGGAGGGATGAATGGGGGAGTGACTGCTAATGGATACAGAGTTTCTTTGGGGGATGATTAAAATGTTCTAAAATTAGATTGTGGAGCTAGCTGTACAACTCTTCAGTATATTAAAAACCACCGAATGAGTGCACCGTATGTGAATTTTCTCTCAAAACTATTACAAAAAGGAAGAAAACGGGGGGAAGGGGGGTTATGTGTGCTTTCTAACCCCAATGAAAGTTTTGTATACTTTCCAATCAGAAATTTTAGGTCTGTATTGAACATCCTTGAGGGATTAAAATGGAGGTGGGTGGGAGATGAGGACTTAACACTGCATCTTATAATTAAATTAAAATTATCAAAACCCGATAAATCTGTTAAGCCCTGATGGGGCTAGTGGGCATGTCCCCGCAAACAAGATTTAAGGCCAACACTTGCAGTTTTGTTAAGTTAAGCTGCCCTTCCCCTCAGTCTTTAGTTTGTTTTCAGACCCTCTTGTACACCTCTTTTCTTTCACTTTCTTCGAATGACTGTTGTATTCTAAATACAAATGTATCTTCCTGACTGTCTTTCCTTCAGGCAGTATTTTTACCTAATTCGTCAAAGTGGTACCGAAGAAGCTGCTTTTTAAAGTATAATGGACTGAAGTGGGCTCTGTGGCAATGAAAGGCAGTCCCTTTGCTACCAGAACTATTAAAGACATCATAATATTTATGGCACTTCCCCTACATCAGCTCACTTAATTAAAGGCTGTTCACTGTGGGCATGAGGTCATCACAACCAAAAACGAGTGGGGTAGGGAGAGTGAATATGTTCATGATACTGTGAAACTATTTCTAGAATGAAAGCACTGGCTTTCTAAATGATTGTCCCCCAAAGCTCTAAACATACTTACTAAGTAAGCAAACTTAGAAGATTTTGCACTATGTGTGTTTATCTATATTTCTTATCTGAATCCCACTAATGTATTAACAATTAAAAAAAAAAAATCTTTAAAAAGACCAGGGATAAATTCTGCTTCCCTCAAAGAGACGTATTTTATAAATAAGTATCTGCAAAGCTGCCTTATTCTTAGAAGACCTAAAAAAAATAAGATTCATAGTAAGATGTTAAAATAACTTCCATTTCAATAGGAAAAAGGCTTTAAGGAGGTTCAATATGCATACATACATTTCAAAAATAAGGCCAAGCTAAAAAAGTAAGAATAAGAGAAAAATTAGGACAAGCTTGGTAGATCACAAGTTAAAATGCAGAAATGCCCAACGTCCACAACAAAACCAGGAAAAAAAGTCAGATTAAGAAAGATGCTTCATAAAAGTGGATACTAACACAAACAAAAGAAAGGCAGAAACGCCAGTTTAAAAGAACCTACAGTTTTCATTGGCATTGAAGCCTCGCAGAATGGCCTTCAATTCCTGGAGTTTCTGATGAGCTCGTGCATGGACACTGTCAATCAGGAGCTTTTCTATTGATAAGTGATCAATCTGCATAAACAAAAAGAACAGGATCGTATGTGCAATTTAAACATATTTACTTTAAAAGTCTGAGAGCAGATTATTGTGTTTCAAGACAGTTCCTTTTAGAATCACACTGATTTTTTAACCAGTAAAAGCAAGCAAGCTTAAAGTTAAAAAGAAATATACAGTAGTATATGGTACTGGTAGCTTAAAGACCACAGCTAACATTTTGGCAAGTATGTATCAAGACAGTATATGTATTGGTTATCAGTGATTAAATGGCAGAACTTCAGAATAAAATGGTGATCTGACCTAAGTTAAAAAATTTGAAGGAACATTTTAAAAATTATATATAACATTAGTTATTAAAAAAATGCAAAAGCATAACATTTGTCTAAAACAAGTTTCATAAAAGGTTTTAGGAACAACTGGGTATTTTAAAGAATTTGTGTTAAAAGTTTTAAGTATAAATATTAAGTTATATATATTCATGTAATCAAAACAGTATTAAAATATATTGAGATCTTTTACCTTCATGGCCCTTTCTACTAATTTGGAATCAGAAGCTGGCAGAGGAGGATCATGAAAAATCTGTAAAGGCTTAGAGACATCATTTTCATCGATTTTAATTGTAACTTTGTGAACTGATGCCGTCCCTGTTTTTCTCCCAAGAACCTGTTGACTAAAGAGAAAAAAAGAAATATTTTCTTTTTAAAAAACATTTATTTATTTGAGAGAGAGCGAGAGAGCGAGCGAGCGAGCACAGGCAGGAGAACAGAGGGAAGAGGGAGAGTGAATCCTAAGCAGACTCTACACTGAGCGCAGAGCCCAACACGGGGCTTGAACTCATGACCCTGAGATCACGACCTAGCCGAAACCAAGAGGTGGACACTCAACTGACTGTGCCACCCAGGCACCCCAAGAAAAAAAGAAATATTAATAAAAATTTTTCCCAACACAGCCTGTTAACTTTTGGAATAAAACAGAAACAATCTATTGTGTACCTTAGCCAGAGCCTAGAACATGACAGGCCCACAGACTATTCTATAATCCAACACAGTATTTGATTTATGTCCTTAAAAAAAAAAAAAGACACAGAATTTAAAAACAAAACACATGCACACAAACAAACAAAAATCCCAAAACAAAACAACCTGTGTTCTAAGAGGTGTCTACTAATCTCTGATTCCTTCACAGAAAATGGGAATCAAGCCAAGTTCCAGGGAATCAAGGACTGTAAACAGCCTGATACTGATTTTCCCCAAAACCCTCCCCAAAAAAAGATTTTAAAGGGCACAGTTCAAAATGTAAAACTGTGATAAGCAAGCATGTTTTAAAACATACCCAACAATTTTAATGGTCTTTCAGCAATCTGGTGTGAGCCCAGAGTAATCTAACTTTTTAAGAAAGCAAATCTTAATACAAATAAAAGTCTACGTATTTAAAACATGCCACGTTCTAAGAAAGGGGTCAGTTATAGATGCCCTATGTGGTTTATACGATACCAGGAACCTTACTATATAAAATCATGTTGCTAAGAGGTACACAGCTATTGGTATATAGTAAATCAGATGCATGAGAGAAAAAAAGGAAGAAAAAGACAGAGTATTAACAGTCATAGCATGAACTCACCAGAATCAACTTCACTTACTTCCAAACTGAGAGGGAGAGGCACTTTCCAGCATGGTACCTTTCCACCTGCACAAGGTCTCCCCACCGCTCTCGGATTAACATTAGAGTTTGGGAATGTAGCACTTCTAACTGAAGCGATAAGCAGAAAGAATCTGATGGGTCTCGTTAAGCAAACTTAATAAATCACTACAACAGCCAATGAAGTACAAGCAAACTTCATTTAACGAAAGCTTTATTTCCCCAAAAGCTGGCTATGAAAGAAATTTCTGGAATTATATTTCTCCGATGACATATACTAAAAAGTGTTACAATTTGTGGCATAATTTTAGAAAGAACTTTTATGTTTAATTTTGAACCAACATAAACAAACTGTAAGGTCCAGGTTGCCCGCTAATTCATCAGTTTAGAGAATATGAGTAGACCAAATAGCACTGGTTTTTTCCTCCAGGTTGTACTATTTCTAATTCATTTTTGTTTTTACCTGCAAAGTGAACAGTAAAATTTAAAATTTGGTTTATTACAAATGTATAATTATTCTTCACACTGACCTGTTCCCCAGCCCTGTTTCTACCCCCAAAAAGGAAGGGGGAGGAAGGAGTTTAGTCTGCTACAGTTCAGGATGGGGGAGGCAAATGGAAATGTGGGGAAGAGAGAGACACACAAATTCCTTACAAATATATGTCTCAAATTTCAAAAGGATACGTAGGCAGTTATACATGTCCTGAAGAGGTTTTTCATCAGCAAAGAGTCTAGACTGCACCAGCTGATGGATAAAGTTGATTTGCATACTATGAACCAAGGCTCGCCCATCTTCCATTGGCAGGAGAAAAGAAGGTGGTTAATCAGAAAAGTGTACAGATCATAATATAGTATCAACTAAGGAAGAGTATACTAACACTAAATTAAAAAAAAAAAGAAAAAAGAAAAAACAACTGAAGTTATCTATCGAAACCAGAGAACATTATACTTGAGAAACACTAAAGCCTCTACGGATAGGTAGGTAGGTAGGTATGATCATCCTAATAGCTGCTTCAAACGACAGGATAAACTGCTAAAATTTATTATTCTGCAAGAATGTTTCAATAATATAAAAACACAAGCATTTGAATTAGTATTTATGATTTAAATCCGTATTTATGATTTACCTCCTGTTTCCTTATCCTCAACTAGAATTTCTAGCTTGAGAAGACGCCATGGAACATCTGGATCATCTCCCATCACGGTCAAGGTGGCTTCAAATTCTCCCTCAACTCGAAACTTCACCCGGCCATTTGCTTTTAGAAGAAGAAAAACATTACTACTTGCTAGAAAATAAGCAGCTTCCTGCTAACCTAGAACGTTCAGTCTAACTTAAAAGAAATTTTAAATAGCTTGAAAGTTCTTTCCTAAGTGTCCAAAGAATTCAGTAGTTCCTGCATAAGCAATACCAAAGGCAGTTAACACTTCTAACATCAACTAACAATTTTCTCTTGAGGCGTAACTCTGGCGCTTCTTCTCTCCTCCCTGCTCCCAGCTTCACATACCAGCATTTTATCCCCAGGTACTAAAGAGAAAAATGATCGGGTTGACAAGTCACAGATTTGAACACCACCTGAATTGCAAGCCAAAACCTCAAAATAGTATTTCTTCGAACGAAACCCTAAACGCTGTTTAAAAAAAATTCTAACAAGTCAATTCTTTAAAAAAAACTAAATAAACTTCAGGTACATACCAACTGTAAGATTTGCTAACTGAGGAGGAAGATCTGTGGTCACAAGCCGATGTCTAAGAATCTGATTGAGCTGGTGAAGTGTGGCTTGTTTCTCAATCTTGGTAATTGGGTCTGGAGGAATAATTTTATCCTACAAAAAAAATTAAGTGATTTTAAAATAATGTTACAAAGAGACACAATCTTTACCTGTGCCTGTCTTAGCATAATATTTTTGTACTTTGCCCAAGAGAATCTCAACACTCATTTCTGCAGTCTACATCCAATAATAGTGACATGACCACTACTATCATGCTTTAGAATGCCAATGATTCCACCAGTCACCCAGCTAAGTCAGTAATACAACACGATCTTCTTCATGCTCTATTTATGAGACCAAGTTCATGTCACTAGATGACTTGCACCACTTCTTAAAAGTATAAAATACAATAGCACCAAGTCAGTAAACAACTACCACAATAGTACTTAAAAAAAAACAACCTTCCAAAAAGCAACTAGCATGTAGTATTTTCACATTTGAAATAGATATAAGTTAATGTGCACATGTTTAACCTCACACACACATAGATTCATCCATTTTGATAGTTATTCACATTCTGGCCCTCAATTTATTTCAAAAAACCACAATTTTAGTTATAGAGAAACAAGTGAATTACATGAAATAATTGTTTTAAAAATAGAGAATAGTTGTTTTGTTGGTAACACAGTACACTTCATTGCCAAACCCTTCAACTTTTTTAAGAAGGGGAATGGTGAGCAATGCACTTACCCTAATGCAGGTGGGCAGTCGTGGGTAAGACCCAGTAGTCAGTACATCAATGGCATACGGGATGGCAAAACTAGGCAGGCGTGCATGGACTAGGGCGTCTCTAGCTAACGAGGCCAGGCGATCAGCAGTATCCACAAACAAGATGGCTTGCTGATCTAAAAAGCTTGAAATCATCTTTAAAGCAAAGGGTAAATATATTAAGCTTCATTGATAACAAGCTGCTTTGCACTTCAAATATCATTTATTCATTCCAAAGTAAACTTTGAGGGAATTAATAGTTTTCCACATTTTGAAACATTTCTTCAAGAAATTTCCCAGTAATGTGAAGAAATATTTAATACATTTGTATTTGGCATTAAAAACAATAACTTTCTATCACTTTAAGTAAAAGGTCTTCCAATTTGTTTCTCCATCCTTAACATTACAAGTACATTATCAGAAGTTAGGAAAAATAAATAGAATAAAATGCTTTTTACTCTCATAGACTTCTGGAGTTGGCTGGTAACAAAGTAGTTAAAAGCATGGACTCCTAGACCCAGACTGCCTTAGTCTCAATTTTAACTCTGCAACTTACTATCCCAATAACCTTAGGCAAGTCACTTAAACTCTCTGGGCCTCAGTTTTTTCAACCGTGAAATGGAGATAATGATTTCCAACCTCGCAAGGTTGTTCTGAGGATTAAGAGCTAATGCATACAGGGTTGCCTAGGTGGCTTAGTCAGTTAAAGCGTCCAACTCTTGGTTTCGGCTTAGGTCATGATCTCCTGGGTCATGGGATGGAGCCCTGCATTGGACTCTGTGCTCAGCAGGGAATCTGCTTGAGATTCTCTCCCTCTGCTCCTCTCCCTACTTGAGTGCTCCCTCTCTCTCTCAAATAAATAAATCTTTTTTTAAAAAAAGAGTTAGTACATTACAAAACCTTCAGAACACTGCCCAGAACACATAAAATACTCCCTAAATGTTGCCTGTTATATGAAATCTACGCCAACTTCATACCCCAAACAGAAATCCTTTCCATCAGTTCTCTATTGAATGCATTTCATAAGGGTACCTGAACTAGCAGAGTTCATCACGGAGCTGAAAACTACTTCCTTGAAACTTTTATCTTCTATTCTGGAGCAGTAATGTCTCTCATGTCCTTCAAATAGGGGAAGCCCATCCTATCTCCAAGCTAAACATTCCAAGTCACTTCATTTAGTCTGTATCTCCAAATTTCTGACTCACCACCCTTGTTCTGCTGCTTTGGAAATACTCCAATTTATCAGTGGTCAACTTAAAACATGGTATCCAGAATTAATACCACATCACACCCACAATTAATACCGGTACACAATGTCCTACATTTTCTCAGTATTTCCATACTCATTTTTATTATCTGATCTTCACAACTCTAGGAAATAGACAAAACCAGATAATGACTATCACCTTAGATATGAGAAAATTGAGACTTAGGTTAAGACACCTGCCCAAAGAAAGCCAACAATCAGAGAAACTGGAACCAAAAAATGTTTCTTCTCTTAGACTGCCCAGAAGAGCTACCTTGCATGACTACTAAAATGGATTTCTATCAATGACAACAACATTAACTTATTAGCAGCAATGACAGTGCTAACACACAGCAAGCTGGGAGTCCACTAAAAGGCCTTGATATTTTGTACGTGAATCTCTATCAAGCAAGGTCCTTTCTCCATCCTGAAACTAAAGCAGGACTGTAATCTGTCTGATTCTAACACATTAAAACCATTTGGATCCTACTTCTCTTAACCTTTTTTTTTAAGATTTAAATAAATCTTAAAATCTTTATTTTAGAGAGAGAGAAAGAGAGAGCACGAGCAGGAGGGACAGAGGGAAAGAGAGAGAGAGAGAGAATCTCAAGCAGACCCTGCACCGAGCGTGGAGCCTGATGCAGGCTCCATCCCATGACCCTAAGATCACTACCGGAGCCAAAACCAAGAGTCAAATGCTCAACCGACTGCGCCCCTACTTCTCTCAACTTCTGAGCTGGTTTTTACTCAGATTTAGATCATCCCAAGTCTCCAATCCAGGTCACTGTAAAAATGCTTATCAGACCAAAGCCAAGGCCAAAGAATACCAAAGACCTCCTTCTAGGAAGACCTGCATCAACCCTAGTGGGGTACTACAGTTCATCCGGCCCACTTTGCTCCACCTTAAACGTGGGTAATTAATGAAACATTCTTGACACTACTCTGGCTCAATTCAAAATACACTAGCTTCAGTTATACTCCTTTGACTTAGAAATCTAATGAATAAACATCAAATTTTAGTTTTGAGTAACTTAGTTTTTAGTAAAACTATACAGGTCCCTAATGATCATCGCATTCCTTTTTTTTTTAAGCACTCACGTGCCAGCTGTTAATATGGTTAATATTCTCCTTTCAAATTTAACTGAGCACTTCATAGACATTTCTCTAAGAAAAATACATAAATGGCCAAAAGCACATGAAAACATATTCGACATCACTGGTCCGCAGAGAAATGCAAATCAAAACCACAACGAGATACCAGCTTCACACCTAATAGGATGGCTAGAATCAAAATGTCAGACAATAACAAGTATTGGCATGGAAAAACTGGAACCCTCAAATATTGATGGTGGGAATGTAAAATGGTACAGCCATTTTGGGAGACAGTCTGGCAGTTCCTCAAGTGATTAAACATAGTCACCATATGACCCAACCATTCAATTCCTAGGCACATATGCAAGAGAAATGTCCATACAGAAACTTGCACATGAATATTTACAGCGACATTCATAACAGCCAAAAACTAGAAGCAATGTCCACAAACTGATGATAAACAAAATATAGTAGATCCATACAATTCAACTATAAAAAGAAACGAAGTACTAACTACTACATGCTACAACATGAATGAACCTTGAAAACGTTATGCTAAGTGAAATAAGCCAGTTACAAAAGACCCCATATTATAATTCCATTTATATGAAATGTTCAGAGTAGGCAAATCTATTGACAACAGATTAATGCTTCCTTAGGGCTGGCGGGGGGCCACTTGGAGGTGACAGCAAAAGGCTACAAATTTTCTTTTTGAGATGATGACAATGTTCTAAAATTGACTGATGGTTGCACATATCTGAATATACTAAAAACCACTGAAATGTATACTTTAAATGGGTGGATTGTATGGTATATGAATTATATCTCAATAAAGCCGTTTTTTAAAAAGCTCCAGGAATGAGAGATATTTTCTTTTTCTTAAATAAAACCTGATCGAGACTGTTTTACCATTAGAGTTATAAACTGTATTTATATATTATACACTGTTACACACTTAATATGTCTGGTATGGCTAAAGATCATTATCTATTAAGAATCTCAAATGAGACTAGGTAAATAATCACTAGGTTGAGAACAGAAGAATCAAAACATGAATAATCTTCTAATTCTCCAGTTGATGGACTTAATACCTGACATAAACACATCTGTGGTATCTACATTCACAAAACAAAAATACCAAAACTTTACATTAAGTTCAGTATGAGACTTTATTCAGAATGTGACTTATTTGAACAGCCACTTCAAAAAACTAATAAAAGAATGCTGAACTATGAATTAATGAAAGATGAATTACAATACGGCTCAATTTCAAAACCAAGAGTTTTGGATTTTCCTGGACATTATGTTACCGAAGCACAACTCAGTAGTATTAAACAGATAACTGAAATACCCATGATATGATTAGGGATTTAACACCAGGTTTGAAAGACTGAACACTTGGATTTGATATACTTCAGTGACACCTAACTTTTCATTGCAAGTTTGAACATTTTTAAGAAAAGATTACCCCAAGTTAAGTAATTATTAAGAAAATACCCTAGGCTTTTCAAAAATATTATACCATGCTTCTTCATTTCAACCAAAATAGATTTACTACATTTGGTGTCCCAAATTTCCAGAAAAATGAATTATAAAACTTTCTGATAAATAAGCTTGGTATAAGTCTGTTTATTAATATTTATAATCACAACTATCCTTCAAATGATGCTTTTCAGTGGACAAAAGACCTTCTGAATACAAACTTTAATTTCCCTATCATACCAACAGACAACAGATGAATCAAAGAACATTTTCCCCCATGAGAAAAACAATATATGGGGTACAAAATATTCTCCCTCTAAATAAATCTGTGATCGAGGCTGTATTTCAGAAGGATGACAGCTTACTCCTATGGACAAAAGATATGTGGCTGGAATTTATCTTGGTAGAATTCTTCCAGCATTGTCACTAGCTTAGTTGGTAGAGCTGGAATTGAGTATCGACTTCGGTGAAAATTGGGTTTTATTTTTAACTTAAAAAAAATTATTATTCTAGCATTTACAATTCTCAACTTCTTCACAACCCCTTTTCTCCTTTCACTTTAGCAACTTTCACCTAGGCTCTGTGCCTAATGATGAGGAACCTAGTAGAACCGAGGACAGTGAATGCAATGGCTACAATGGAGGGGAGAGGTCAGGAAATCACGTGTAGAAACACAACTGTGTCCTAGATTCCTTTCTGATGTGGGATTTTATGGAAGAGGCAAACCCTGATAGACTTGCAAATATAAAAGTACTATAAAAATATTTTCAACTTAGCTTGTCAGGGTGCTAAAAAGAAATTTATTACGTACCTCTATAATGACCAGGTGGCTGCTCATTTTAATTTGTAAACTTTAAGAGAATTTGAAAAGGACTCAAATAAAACTGAACCAATGTAATGCTGTTTTTCTGCCTTCGCTGATAAAAACTGATAAAAAATTTTTAATGTTATTACATAACTGAATGAAAAAAAAAATGAGCATCAGTGTTAAGCTTAGAGAATCTACCTACTTTCCAAATATAACTGACAGTGGCTAGAAGGTTACTTGGCTTTGTAGAGCTGACCTCAAAGTGAATAAATGCTCTCATTGTTTTAGGACTTTACTCACTTTATGATGATTACTCTACCCTTTCCAATATGAAAGGGTACTCTACTCTCTTTCCTTTCTCCTCACAGGAAGTGACCGAAGTAAAACAGAAGGGAGTAATCATGTGCCTCGTCTGTTAACACGGCGCCATCCTCCCCAAGTTATGGGCTCATAACTTGGGTTTCTTTTCTTTTGGTTAGGGGGCAGGGGAGGCTGATTTTAGCATCTGTGGTACACTACATGTCACTCCTCTGAATTCAAGAGTGATTTAACAGACAAAGCCTATGAGCTTCCTGAGGGCAGGGGCTGTGCCTTTCTTAAATCTCATCTGCCATATCCTATGCCCTGTGCTCACTAAAGGGTTTGGAGAATCAGTAGATGCATAACAAACAGATAAATGCTGTTATCAGCTCTGTGGCCTTGAAGAAGCCATTTAGCTCCTAAGAACCTTATTCCCTCATCTGTAAAACAAGAAGAAAATACCAACTCTGCCATACTCAAGAGGGTTTTCAATAATCAATAGGCAAAATTCAAGGAAGTACTTTGCACACTCTAAGGAAGCGTACAAATGTAAAGCTATTTCCCCCCTGTAGTTTAAGTCTCATATTTAATGTCTTCTAGAGTAACAATGTCTCCAGATACGACCTAGTCTCTTTTCCTGCTTGGGTGATCAAATACTAAGTTTCTACAGAAATATATTACACATTTTTCTTTAAGATTTCACTTATTTATTCAAGAGAGAAAGACAGCGAGAAAAAGCACCAGCGGGGGGCGGGGGGGAGGCAGAAGGAGAAGCAGGCTCCCCGCTGAGCAGGGAGCCCCGATGTGGGGCTTGATTCCAGGACCCCAGGATCATGACCTGAGCCAAAGGCAGACGCTTAACCAACTGAGCCAGCCAGGTGCCCTTACACATTTTCATACAGAAATAGGATTACTCACTTAAGTGAGTAATCAACAAATCAACAGATATAAATTAAAGCTAAAATTAGAAGCTATGTCTATTATAAATTGACATTCCAAAAAGTTATTTTATATAAAATAAAATCAAAAGTTTAACTCACCGCACATTTTTCCACCTTGCCAGCATTATTAGCCCATTTTACTAAAGCTAATAGTCGAACAAAGAGTTGACGTGTCCGGCTAGCAAACTGCACTATTTCTATTTTCCTGTAAGATAAAACAATTCTTAATGAACCAACATATTTGAAAAGAGTATTTCACAATTTATTTCATCTGGGCTAAAATATGAATCAATCTTTGTTTATAACCATTACAATAAAATGAACCGCCTAAGGTACTTACCTAAATATGAATTATTGTCACATTTTGTATACTGCATGCATTTTTTTATTTTCTACTTCCGAGTAATAAATCCAAAAAAATGTTTTAGCAATAAACCACCATCACATTTTAAAAATTAATTTTGTGTGACAATAAAAGTTGTTTACTGAACTATACCCAATTCACAGACATAAAAGTACAACGTAAAAGTTAACTAGGTCACAGAGAGGAACAAATTAAGAGTCAGGAATTTCATAATTAAGACTATGAGTTATGAATTTGCAACCTTTTTGTTACGAGAAAGGAACTGAAACAGATCTTTACCAAAGCTTGAAAGTGTCTCACTTCTACAAAAGCAAGGGCCCATTTCCCATCTTGCAAGAGCGTGATTTAAACACCTGAATAATCAAAGAACTATGCAACACTTTACCAAACTAATTTCAGTGACAAACTTAGATATTAAATCATCTAAACAAAGTTAAACTGAGCACTAAAAATAAAAGCTAGATGGTCTGTCCGTATCTATTTTTATGCTATATCCACTACGATGCTTATTCTCTCAATACTCATCAGTATTTTTATCATCTCATAAAGCCTTAAAAGCTTTGTCAGTATGTTAGCTAGACCTCTCAATTTCCTGACAGCTATAAAATTGAAAATCACTTTCGTAGTTTACTTTAAGATACTGAAAAATATATTCGACAGGCTGGGACTGATGACAGGACCCAGCAGGACATCAACCTCCCTCCAAGTGGACTCTGACCTATATTAATCTCAGTACAGCTGTTCAATGGACTACAGATCCAACCCACATCTCTGTATCTCACCAATAGCAACACCATGAGGCAATGCACCAAAATAAAAGCTTTTGTTGAAGTATAATCCTGACTGAGGACTACAGAGTCTAACTCCTAGCGAGAGCATGTGTGTGTAGCCCACAAAAAAACCTGAAAAGGCTTCCTTAAGATTCAGCCAGCAATATGATTATTGGTAGTACAAAGAGAAGAAGCAAGGGCACAGATACAATTAAGACTCCTTGCCAGTGTCTGTTAAGGATCTTAAGAGAGATAACAAGCAGAGCATCACAGGCAAGACTGGAGCACAGCAGAAATAGGAAATGTACATTAAGACCTGGCACCATCTCAGTGCTGGGAGCCCCAGTACTCAAACTCCAACTCAGCAATGACTTACAGAGCACGTGAGCTCTCTGCTCTTCTCCTAGAGCAAACATATCTGTCTATTATTAACTTGGTTCCCCAAATGATCTCCTGTACTGGAAAGCAAACACCCACCTTTGTAAACTATTGTAACATGACTTTTTTGACACCATGCAATCTCAAGTGATCAGCAGCATGAGTCAGTTTTTCAAGGCCCAGTTTCCCTTCCCACCCCTGAGTGGACAGAAGAAATCCGGATTTACATTTCCTTCCTTTAAAACTGACCAGCCAAACCATAACAAAAGTATGCTTCAACGGTCTCCCCCATCTCTACCTTTTTGATCCAATTCCCTCAGAAAGATAGCTGGTGGTGGAGGTGGGGAGCAGAGTCACTAATAAATCTTCCCTAGTGACTTGGTATTTAGGGAAAAAAAAATTAACCAAGGAGCATAAGAGTGCCAGAGACACAGTCAAGTAGCCTACATACTGTGGCCACAACTTAAACCTCCATTACAGGATTACTTTGAAACCTTAATTTATCTTGTTCCTTTGGCCTATGGGCACAGTGGTGTTTAGTTATGTCTTAAGCCCCAAACTCCAACTCAGTCAAAATTCAACTGTGAAACAGCAATAGCAGTATGCAAATGTCAGTTCTCTAAAGACATCTAATAGCATCTTCATAGCAAACAGTAAATCAGCAGCCAACTTAAGTCAGTCTGTTCCTCAGCTTCTTCTATTAAGTTCTATACCTTCTACATCTTCCTCTCCCCCTCAGGGACTTAACAACAAAGGTTTCTAGAACACAAGGTCCAGAGCTGGTCTACACCAAGAACTGTCAAGGATGAGGAAATCACATTTCCCAGGGTTCCCTAAACAAATGGTGTAAAACATCACCCTAGGTTCTCTGGACCTAGGTTTCCAATCCACAGCCCTACCCTTCATACACATCCACACACACACACACACACTCACTCACACTCTTTCTCACATACACTCCCATAGATATACCAACACAGACATAGATTTAAGTTTTTTTTCATACTCACCTTTCCACATCAGATTTCCTTGGCAGTCTAAGAGAAAAAAGAAAAACAAAAGAAATTGACTAAATATACACATACCTTCATCAAACTATGATAACGGTCTTTATTTCAATTCTATTACACACCTTAGTGTTTCAGAAAAACTAGATAAATAGCCACTACAGGCTTATGTGGCTACCTACTCCTTTTTACAAGTTTCTAGCAATATGGCTATAAGGGAAAAAACTAACAAAGGAACATTCCCCCCCATTCAAGATGGTCCAAAAGGTATTGCATGAACCTCAAACATTTGAAAAGTTCAAGTCTTACATTAAACACACTACTATATCACAGAGTTAGAAAAGATATTCTTTTAAAACCAAAATAGACACGGATGCAGAATACTAGCTGCTAGCCTCCTTGTATCCAATGGAACCTTGCTTCCAAGAAATAATCTCTCCATGTTTTGTCAGAATGGGCAAAACTGGAAGCTAAGCACACAAAAGGACCAGTGTCAGCCAAGGGTTTTATGGTAATTATGATGCTGCATGGTGGTTAGATGTAAATGATTACTTTTAAGCTCCAGTAAGATTTTGATTTCTTTTTTGCTAGTACTCCAGTACAACAGCCAGCAACCAATGTCACTATTTTCCCTGTTAAATTATACCATTTAACACTCTCACATTCACTGATGCTTACAAAGGTCCTGATCTGCCTCCTGAATCACCACATTCTGTAAACATCTATCCCATGGCTCAAGATTCAAAGGCCTGAGCAACTCTAAAGCCTCCTCTACATCTAATCCCTTCTTTTTTTTTTTTTTTTAAAGATTTTATTTATTTGCGAGAGAGAGAATGAGAGACAGAGAGCATCAGAGGGAGGAGGGTCAGAGGGAGAAGCAGACTCCCTGCTGAGCAGGGAGCCTGACGTGGGACTCGATCCCGGAACTCCGGGATCATGACCTGAGCCGAAGTCAGTCGCTTAACCAACTGAGCCACCCAGGCGCCCGTCATCTAATCCCTTCTTGAAGAACACACACTGAGCCGCTTAGATTCTCTTCTCCCACCCACAGGCCACAGGTGCAGAAAAAATAAAACCAGAGTTCGAGGTACAAAGAGGGGAAACTATCAAAATGAGTTCTGGCCTGTAGTTAACAATAATTCTGAGAGTAGACAGTGAGATAGAAGTTGAAGTTATGATCCAGGTGATAAAGGAAACTAGGTACAAGCAGAAATTAAGGCCTTAGAAGACTGCAAGGAAAAACAACTACTGGCAAGGTCCTCTACATGTGAAAGCTCCCGAGAACACTCCCTTTGAGAAGCCACAACCCTCGTCCTCAAGGGAGGGAGAGAATGAGAACCTTGAATGCAGGTGTGTGCATAAGAGCCAGAGAGAAACAAAAGAGGAGAGCCTCTGGGGGTTGAGAACAGGAAACATTGTTCCAGCTCTTCCCACGTGCCCCAGAGATCCTGAAAGGATCATCTCATGTCAAAGACGGTATCATTTCCGGGACAAAGATTAGGCTTTGTTGTCTACATCCCTTTCCTCCCAATTCCTCCTAATCTATTTAAAATTCCTTTATGGATAACAAATCCACCATTTGGGGCAAAAGCCCTAAAATGCAAATTTTTGGAAGTCGCAGACACTTATTTACACTGAAGTGTAATAAGACAAGTTTACATGACTGAGACCCTAGCATTTTCTAATTTTAATTAAAACAGGTTTAAAAAAAAAAAAAGGGTAGAACCTAATTCCCTAAATCAAGGCAGAGTATAAACTCTTAGATGAGAGCATGCATGTTGGGGAGGAGGTGGGGGTAGACAAGCAGAAGGGGGGAAAAAAAAACACAGAAATCTGTGGCCAAAAACAAACCACTGAAATTGCCAAGGCGGTCCTTTTTACTTTCAATAGTTCACAAGCAAACATCAAATATGGCAGAAATAAGACTCTTATAAAGTAAACCTAGAACACTAGTTTTACATCAATACATTGATTCTGACAGTTCCCACCTGGAACAAGGAAAAATATATGATTTAGGAACTCCAAGGTAAGTTCCTAAACTAATTTGGCTAGCACAAATCAAAAGAGAAAAGAGTTATTTTATATACCCAAGTATCAAGAGCAGGAATGTATTTTCCCATTAAATACTCCATGGTCTACAATGGCAATTCTAAAAATTCATTTGTTAATGTACTAAGTCAATATAATACTTAGTTAATCCCCAACTATGTGCCTAACTAGCCCAGGGAGCATAGCAAACAAATAAAAATTCCCATCCTCATGGAGCTTCCAGTGGGGAGGAAGTAGACAATAAATTAATGGTACCCAGTAGCGATAAGAAAAAAACAAAGCAGTGAGTAAAGAATAGACAGCAGGGGCAGAGTGCTTTTCATGGGTGGTCAGAGAATGTCTTTCTGGTAAGTTCTATCTGAACAAAGACCTAAAGGAAATAGGAAAGCAAACCACACAGATTTCTGGGGGGAAAGCAAAGGCCCTAAGGTGGGAGTGTGCCTGGCACTATCAAAAAACATCAAGAAGGGTAGTGTGGCTGAAACAGAATAAGCAAAGAGGAGAGTATTAGGAAATGAGGATAAAGAGGGAAGGGGGAGAAGGCACAGACCGCACACATGTCCTGGTTTGCCCAAGATAGTCCTGGTTCGTGCCTGTTGCTCCGACATTATTTTTTTAAGATTTATTTATTTTAGAAAGAGAGAGAGCATGGGCAGGAGGGGCAGAGGGAGAGAAAGAATCTCAAGCAGACTCCTGAGGATGGAGCTCGATCTCATGACCCTGAGATCACGACCTGAGCTAAAACCAACAGTCAGATGCTTAACTTACTGTGCCACCCAGGTGCGCCCAGCATTATTATTAAGAACACCACCTTTCATGCTCAAAAGTGTCCTGATCTGGACCATAAGTTTTACGGTCACTCCAAATACAGGGGACTATAAAACCTTTTTACCATAAGTGAGATGGAGAACCGCTGCAGAGTTGTGGGCAGAGAAGTTTTAAAAGGATCGTCCTGACTATTTTATGGATGACAAAAACTGTAAAGGGGCAAGGGTAGCAGTTAGAGATATCAACTGGCAGACTACTGCAGTCAACATGGGAGAAGGATTCACACTTGATGGAAATGTTGAAAACTGGTCAGACTCTGAAGTCAGAGATGACAAGACTTGCTGATGTACTGGGTATGGGATTGGAAGAAAGAGGAATTACTCCAAATTTGTGGCCTAAGCCACAACAGGAAGAATGGAGATACTCTTTAGTGAGACAGAAGAGGTTTGGGGGGGGGGAATATATCAAGTGGAATTGACTGAAATGCCCATTAGGTATTTAAATGTAGGCATCTGGATATAGAGTCTGGAGTTCAGTAGAGGGGTCTCTGCTGGAGACAGAAGTATGGGAATCATCATCATAAAAAGGGTGCAGGATTAAAACTATACACTTATTCTACTGCAATAAAATAGACATGTCTTTGTAACTAAGTTGTAAAATAGGAAGAACACAATATAATTCAAAAAATTTCTAGAAATCCTCTATGAAAGAACAAATTATACAATCACTGATAGCAGTTTTCAGCATTTTTCCATAGCTATACACTGGGTAGGTGATCTTCACATATATATGAAATTTTTTCATAGACACTCTTAAATTTTCATGAAATCCAAAAATAATTGGTTCAGAGAAGTATATTACTTTAATAACACCTAATCATGACAGCTATTTAAGTTTCTCATTAGACGGGGAAGACTTTTTTCTGTTCCATTCAATAAAGTACCGTATGTCAAAATTGAGTGAGAATGATGTTTTACAGGAATAAGTGGAACCTATTCTAACTCTTTCAGTCATCCGCAAACAAATATTTTAAGTCTCTGGTAACAAATTACTATGCCACTTTACAGCCTAATATCTACATATTAATGCATACAAATGAATACACTGATCTGCAATGTAACAAGATAAAAGATAAAAACTAAATTAAGTAAAAACTTAAAATTCTTACTTTTTCTGAACCTGGATTTAAAATGTATAACAGTAATTAAGGTATATATACCCCCCAATTTTTTTTTTAAAGATTTTATTTATTATTTGAGAGAGAGAGAATGAGAGAGAGTGAGTACATGATAGGGGGGAGGGTCAGAGGGAGAAGCAGACTCCCCGCTGAGCAGGGAGCCCGATGCGGGACTCGATCCCGATCCCGGGACTCCAGGATCATGACCTGAGCCGAAGGCAGTCGCTTAACCAACTGAGCCACCCAGGCGCCCCATACCCCCAAATTTTATAGTGTCTTTTCTTCACACACTGAGAATTAGTGTATTCTGATCCTATTTTGAAGGGATTAACAACTTAATCATGTCCCAAGGCATTTCATTGGTAACTTGATTTATAAACTCCCTACATACTCCAAGAGACAATAACAGAAGACCAGTTACAATAAATCTTTTACTTACACTAAATGCGTTAAGACTTCAAACACTCTCAAACATTTCAGGAAAAAACAAACAAACAAACCTTGGAATCCAAAATTTTGGATTATTTTATACACAATAGATCTCCTGAGTTCCAACTGTCAGAAGCAATTACAACCTAAATTTAAAATGTACCCTCAAGACGCTGTAAAACAGATTTCCTGTCTTTGGGAATTCGAATATTATGTATTCCTAAACCCTAACGTGGGGCTTTCGGCTAAAAAGCTTCCAACCAAGGAATCAATAGGGTTCTGCTGGCAACTCGAGCAAAAACCCCAAAAATGGGATTTTCAGTGAGTCTAACATACAAAATTAACAAGTCTCCGTTGCTCCTCTCCAGAAAGACCCCAAATGCAAAGCTTTTCCTCCACCTCCACTGAGCCCCAAGAGTTCAGAAATTCTAGACTAAGTAGCCCAGAGGAAAGGAAAAAACAGCAGCCCCGTGGGGAGGTGCGAGCCTCTCTAAGCCGGTTGGGCGGGAAGCGATTGGGGGGGGGGTGCTGGGGAGCAGGCATGGGTTTCGCGGCACTTACAGGTCCGTCAACACCATGAGCTCGGAGTAGGCCCGGTGCAGAAGAAATTCGATGAGGGTACTCAGCCGGTAGCCCGGACTGGCCGCGGCTGCAGCGGCCGCCGCCACGGCGGCTCCGGGAGGAGGAGGCGCCGGGGCTGACGCGGGACCACCGGGGGCCCCGCCACCGCCTCCAGGCGGGACCAGCTGGTGGTTCTCCAGCTGCACTGGGGCCATGGCGGCGCAGGGCCGGGCTTGGCGCAGCGGCACAAGATGAAGCGCTCGAGCCTCCCAGGCGCTCGGTCACCGCGCCTAAGTGGGCGCGGGCAGAGTCGCCGCCGCCTACCGCCAGGCCGCCTCCGAACAGGAAGCCGTGCGCCGGCCGCGGAGGCCCGCCCCCATGTAGCGACGAGCCCGCCGGCCCCAGCGACTAGAGCGAGGGGCGGGGGGGAGGCGGGGAGGGCGGGGAAGCGGGGCGGCCTCCGCAGAGAAGCTGCGCCTCCGCCACCGATCAGAGTCCGCTTCGGCAAGCAGCCGCAGCGTCCATGTTGACGGCCCAAAGCGGAAGTCGTTAGGCAGAACGGAAGGGGAACCTGCAGGGGGACTTCCGACAGCAACCTGTGCTTTTTCTCCGGCTGTCCGGCGCCGTGACGCTTGGGGGCGCGTGGGAGTGAGGCGGGGCCGGCGCGCGGGCCGGGAAAGCGGAAGCGGGGGCCGCGCGTCGCCGGAAGCGGGTGTGGGGGCGGAGCCGGTACGTCACCGCGAACGTCAGTAGTTACCCCGCCCTTGCCGTCGCCGCCCTCCGGTGCTTAAAAGGCTCCAATTTACACTGAGGTATTTATCAGCGCTCCCCAGTGGGGCTCAAACGCTGCTGGGAGGCTCCCTCCCAAGATGTTCGTGAGTTGTGGTTCTGGAATCGCGAAGAAATTGTAGCGGCTGTGGCCGCTCTTGTGGCTTCTCAGATCTTTGCTCCTCCCACAGTCTGCTCATGCGCCTTTCGTGGGATAGACGTTTCCGTCATTGTTTTTTTTTTTTTTTCTTAACTGTGGGAAAAGATGTGAGAAAATATGATGGGGTGTAGGAGCAAGGCTGCTGGCAGAATAACTTCACTTTAATGGAGTTGGACATATGCCGCTCTCGTTACCGACCCCCAAATCCCGGGAGTTCTACTACAGAAACAGCCCTTAAATCCTCTACCGCTGGTTCTCACTCGGTTCTTGTCCCTGCTCTTGTAGTAGACGCCCTGCCCTCCCAGGGTTTTCTGTTCTTTTTCTATGCCCTACCTCCAGTTTTCCCCTTCAAAATCCACGTCTAGTATTTTGCTTCCTGCTTTAAATTGGTGATTCTCAACCCAGTCTGCGCGTTGGAATCGCGGGGCGTCGGGGGGCGGGGCTTTAAAAAATACTTATATGCCACGCTCATAGATTCGGCTTTAAGTGGTCTGATGTGAGGTCTGGGTTCGAGGTTTTTAAAATCTTCCTTATGTGCAGCTAAGGTAGAAATCCACTGTTAAAAAGCGTCAATTGCTGCGACCCTTTTATGAAACATCCTTTTGCAGATTTCATATCTGTAACTCTTAGGTGTAGGAGATGCCCTTGTTCTTTAAGGTTAAAATACTCTTATTGTCCACTTGTGTGATTCTCAGTCATTCTTGAAGGCCATTCACCTGTAACCTTTGGAGTATAGTCGCTTGCTCCCTCTTTTGTGGCCTTCAAGCATATTTACACGCAGTATCATCATGGTACTCATCAAAATGCCTTAGGACTACTTACACCCCTTACAGGTGCAGTTGCTGGAGGGCACAGACTTATTCCTCCCTATGCAAGTTACCTCAGGGAACAAACATTTTTATGTTAGCTAGAATGGTACCATTTCTTTTGCAGTTGTTTTGATTTGTTTTATTGAAGTTCCCCCCCACACACACCTTTCTGAAAACTATTGACTTGAGTTAAAAAAAAGCCGGTGGTCACATACACAGGAAAGATAGGTGGTCCTACAAGATGGTCTTTAAGGTCTTTTCTAACTCTCAGATTCTGATTCTGTGTGATGTTGATAGGATTTTAACTCTGCCTTATTGCATATATTAAACACAGTTACACAGCATGTATTTTGGTATACATTCTATTTGGCAATAAGGTTCTACCTAGAGACAGTACAACCAACTTGCAAATAAAAGAGAAAAATTAATTGGATGGGGTGGTTTTAGAATAGAGAAGACTTCACCCACATCCATCAAATTAGATTCTATTGAAATTTCTGTGTTTCAATAGATACCTTTAAAAATTGAAAAGTACTTGTTAAAAAGATATTCCAAAGGAAAACAGGGCAACGATCAAGGAATAGAACTGTGAGAGGTGCTATGCTTGAATTGTTGGCAATAAGGGAGGTAATATAAATGGAAGCTCCTCAAAGAGGTGATAGCCCACCTCCCAACCTGATAGTGTAGCCGCTAGACAAATACAGGAAGTGCTAGTGAAGAAATGACGGGGAAGGAGAAAAAATATTAGCATGTTTGACTGAGTTACTAAAGGAATGACTCATCTGAATCACTTTTGGGAATCGTGTAATGTATAATTTTAAAGCCTACAGTACAATGTTTGGCACTGTAGTGTATATACATAATTCTTTCACATTTTTCAATTGTTCCCCTGTTTGGTCATCACCAGATTCTGTCGCACTTCACATAGTTTCAGAACTAGCAGCATGATATTTCCTCGGCTCTTCAATTGACCCAAACACTTGACATCTTTCATGAAGTCAATCTGATTTTAATAAAAGAAACTGATTGCAAAATATGGAGAAATAAGAGAACATTTCCTTTTAAGCCCTCTTGATGGAAAAATGAAATTGTGATAAATATAGTTTCATTTTGAAGCATACAGCTGCCCCTCAGACACAAATGAATGGGAAAGAAATTAAAAAGTAATTTTTTCTTTCTTTTTATGAGATACTGCAGCCAGTTCCTCCAAAACAGAGAGCAAAAGCAGTAACTGCATTCATTCAAGAGATGCTCCGTTCATGGTAAAGTTGAGGAAAGGAACTCACAATACTGTGAGTATGGTCTGACCACCTTAGAAAAAAATGAGAAAACTTTAATTGTTTTGCCTGTAAAAGAAAACCCAAACTTCTTACTGTGGTCTCTAAAGCCATTAACAGAGTAACCCTTGCCTGCTTCTCCACCACTATCTCCTGCCACTCTTTCCTTCACTTACTATACCTGTAACCTCACTGGGTCTAATATGTGCTGTTTTCTTCGGTGTTAGGGCTTGTCCACTGTTCCAAATATGGGAAGCACTTGTTTCCCAGCTCTTCACATGGCTAGCTTCTCATCCTTCTAGTATCAGCATAAATGAGAAAATCCTCAGGGAGGCCTCCCCTGAATATATGATATTAGGAATGTACAAGGAATTTCATTGCTCTATTGTAGAAGCCAAACCATGTGAATGATCTTAACTGTCTCAGTAGAAGAATGGCTAAGTAAATTACTGTATTTCTTTTTTTTTTTTTTTTAAGATTTGTTGATTTTAGAGAGGGAGAGCACGTGCACTCATGAGCACGCCCTTGAGCAGGGGAAGGGGCAGAGGAAGAGGAAGAGAGAGAATCCTCAAGCAGACTCCCCGCTGAGTGTGGAGCCGCCGCGGGACTCAATGCCAGGACCCTGAGATCTGAAATCAGGAGTTGGCCGCTTAACCTGCTGAGCCACCCAGGTGCCCCAAATTACTGTATTTCTATGTAGCTGTTCAAATGAAGGAATTAGACCTACATGTACCAATGTGGATACATCTCAAAAACAAAACTGAATGAAAACACCAATCTTTTTTGATACCATTTCTGTCCATTTTTATTTATTAATTTTAGGGTTTTTTTTAAGATTTTATTCATTTATTTGAGAGAGAGAGACAGCAAGAGCAGGAACACAAGCAGGGGGAGTGGGAGAGGGAGAAGCAGGCTTCCGGCCGAGCAGGGAGCCCGATGCGGGACTTGATCCCAGGACCGTGGGATCCTGACCTGAGCCGAAAGCAGATGCTTAATGACTGAGCCACCCAGGCGCCCCTGTTTTTTTATTTTTTTAAATTTAATTTAAATTCCAGTATAGTTAACATACACTATTATATTATTTTCAGGCGTACAGTATAGTGATTCAACAATTTTATACATTTTATATGAGCTCATTGTGACAAGTGCACTCCTTACTCCCCGTCACTTATTTTATCCATCCCTCCCCCCCAACCACCTCTCCTCTGGTAACCATCAGTTTGTTCTCTATACTTGAGAGTCTGTTTCTTGCTTTGTCTCTCTCTTTCTCTCTTTTTTTCCTTCGCTCATTTGTTTTGTTTCTTACTTCTGTCCATTTTTGAAGCACACGAAATAACACTCTATAATTTCATATATTGTAGTCAAAGTAAAAAATGTAAATGAGGATGACAGCACTTTCAGGGTGGTAGTTACAGGGAGGGATGAGGGATGAGTGGTGCATTATTGGTTATTAGCTATTTGTTATATTTAATGGGTTTACGGAAGAAATACCTGAAGGAAATGTGACAATATTAATATCTATTAAATCTGGGTAGGGAGAGATGATTGTTAATATATTCTGTACTTTTCAGTATGTTTAAAGATTTCATAATTTGTTAAAGTTTAAATTAAAGTGTTTCTATTAGTATAATTTACACAGGCTGCCATAACAAACCCCCAAATCTCAGTGACTTAACACAGTAAGAGTTTATTTCTCGTGCTCACAAAGTTCAGGAAAGATGTACCTGATGGAGAGGCCCATACTACCCTAAGCTCTAAGTAATAACCCAGAGATTCAGGCTCCTACCTTGGGAAGCCATCACTCTAACCGGGAGATTTTTTTATGTCCACCCAAATTCCATTAGCCAGAATTAGTCACATGGCCCTTTTAAAGGCTAGGAGCTGGATCCATCCATGTTGTTTTAAATGGCAAAACCTTATTCTTTTTTATGCCTAGGTGATATTCCATTGTATATATACCACATCTTATTTATCCATTCATCTATCAATGAACACTTAGGTTACTTCCATAACTTGGTTATTATAAATAATGCTGCAGTGAGGGCCAGGGAGTGAGGGATGGGTGAAATAGGTGAAGGGGATTAAGAGGTACAAATTTCCAGTTATAAATTGCAGAGATGAAAAGTACAGCATAGGGAATGTAGTCAATAATAATATAATAATGTTATATGGAGACAGATGTTGACTACCCTTACCGTGGGGAGCACAGCTTAACGTATAAAATTGTTAAATCACTATGTTGTGCCCCTGAAATTAATATAACATGGTATATCAACTATACTTCAATAATAAATTTTTTTTTTAAGATTTTATTATTTATTTTAGAGAGAGTGGGGAGAGGAGCAGAGGGAGAGGGACAAGCAGACTCTGCACTAAGTGCAGAGACAGATGCAGGGCTTGATCTCAGGACCCCGAGACCATGACCTGAACTGAAACCAACAGTCAAACACTCAACCAACTGAGCCACCCAGGCACCCCAATAATAAATTCTTTTTATTTTTTATTTATTATAAGATTTTATTTATTTATTTGACAGAGACACACAGCGAGAAAGGGAACACAAGCAGGGGGAGTGGGAGAGGGAGAAGCAGGCTTCTTGCTGAGCAGGGAGCCCAACATGGGGCTCGATCCCAGGACCCTGGGATCCTGACCTGAGCCGAAGGCAGACGCTTAACGACTGAGCCACCCAGGCACCCCAATAAATTCTTTTTAAAATAAAGGCTAGGGAGCTGGGAAATAACAGTCTTCTTGTGTGCCTAGGTAGAAAATGAAATGGTTTGGTGAATAAATAGCATTGTTTTTACCAGAAGATTAAAGTAGTCTTCTCTCTGTGTCTCTCTCTCTTTTTTTTTTTTTTCCTTAGAACACAGCCTCTGGAATCAGACCACTTAGGTTAAAATCCTAGCTTGACCACTTACCATCTGAATGCTCTCCAGCAAGTTATTTCAATTCTTGGGTCTCAATTTCCTCATCTGTAATAATAGTATTTACCTCAGAGGATGATTGTGAAGAATTAATGAGTTAACATTTGCAAACAGTAAGTGATCTATAAATATTAACTATTACCATCATCATCACTTAGGAGTAATAATTCTTGCATTTGTTTTTTCACCTAATAACCTCTGAACTTACTGTCTTTTCCTGTACTCATGTAGCTCTCTCTGATAGCCCCAGCACCTAGCATAGTGTGCCTAGCTATCTGGCTTTAATGAATGAATGGCACAGGTATATTCCTTCATCTGTACATTGTAGTTCTATTTATATTGCATTCCTTTATTTGGTATTAAGATTGATTTACATATATTTACATGTGAAATGAAGTGTCTAGGATTTCTATGAAAACACTCTGGGAAAAAAAGTGGGCGGAGGTAGATGAAATACGATTGGCAACATGTTGAGAATTATTAAAGTTGATGATGGATACATGGAAGTTCCTTATCCTCTATTCCTTCTCTTCTGTAGGTGTGAGAATATGCATAGTAAAAAGTTTTGAATAATTGAAAATGGGTAGTCAACTAAAGGTCCAGATTTTTTTCTTTCCTAACCAACAGCTTTTAAAATATATATATATATATAATATATAATAAATTAAATATATATTTAAGGGGCACCTGGATGGCTCAGTCGGTTAAGGTCTGCCTTTGGCTCAGGTCATGATCCTGGGGTCCTGGGATTGAGTCCCTCATCAGGCTCCCTGCTTAGCAGGCAGTCTGCTTCTCCTTCTCCCTCTGCAGCTCCCCCTGCTTGTGCTCCCTCTCTCTCTCTCTCTCTCTCTCTCTCTCAAATAAATAAGATCTTTAAAAATATATATGTATATTTAATATATATGTAATATATATAATATGTAATATATGTGATAAATTAAGTATATATTTAATCTTTTGGATTTTTAAAAAACTTTATTTGAGAGAGAGACAGAGAGAGCGTAAGCGGGAGGAGGGGCAGAGGGAGAGAGACAAGCAGACTCCCTGCTGAGCGGGGAGCCAGATATGGGGCTTGATCCCTGGACCCTGAGACCATGACCTCATCCTAAGTCAGACGCTTAACTGACTGAACTACCCAGGCACCCCATCTTTCAGATTTTTAAAACATTTGTGTAATTTATAGAGTGTTTAACATTAAAAAAACTACCAGGAAACCTAAAATTATACCTGCTTATAAAAGACATGAAAGTGTCAAATATTTTAACAACTTTGGTTTCAGGCCTTGAAATAAGAATGTTTGCAAGGAGCTCTAAAAACAAACAAACAAACAAAAACTTATCCAAATGTATAATCTTTTTTTTTTTAAGATTTTATTTATTTATTTGACACACAGAGAGAAAGCACAAGTAGGCAGAGAGGCAGGCAGAGAGAGAGGCAGAAACAGGCTCTCCACTGAGCAGGGAGCCCGATGCGGGACTCGATCCCGAGACTCCAGGATCATGACCTGAGCCGAAGGCAGTCGCTTAACCAACTGAGCCACCCAGGCTCCCCTCCAAATGTATAATCTTAAAAATTTCTAGCTGTGCTAAAATTCAATGTCTTTTTTTTCACCTTACAGTTACTTTTTTAAAAAATTTTGTGGTGAGAACATTTAAGATCTACTCTCTTAGCAACTTTCAGATATACAACACATGTTAACTATGGTCACCATGCTGTATACTAGATCCCCAGAACTTACTCATTTTATAACTGGAGGTTTATAACATTTGACTAACATCTCCCCGTGTCCCCCACCCCCAGCCCCTGGCAAACACCAATCTACTCTTTGTTTCTATGAGTTTGGCTTTTTTGGATTCCCACATGTAAGTGTGACCATATAGTATGATCTTTGTCTTTCTATGTCTGACTTACTTTACTTAGCCTATTGCCATCAAAGTTTTATCCAAATGGCAGGGTTTCCTTCTTTTTTATGGCTGAATAATATTCCTGTGTGTGTGTGTGCGTGTGTGTGTGTAGATAGATAAATAGATACCACATTTTTTTAATCCATTCATTCATCAACAGACACTTAGGTTGTTTCCATGTCTTGGCTATTGTGAATAATGCCACAGTGAACATGGGGGTACAGATACCTCTTTGTAAAATTCATTATCTTTTAAATAACTGATTTCTAATGGGTGAACAAAGGAAAAAGAAATAAAAGGAAGAAGGAACCCATTTAGAATATAGTTATATTCTTCATTAAGAGATAAAAATCTGGGGCGCCTGGGTGGCTCAGTCGTTAAGCATCTACCTTTGGCTCAGGTCCTGAGATCGAGCCCCGCATCGGGCTCTCTGCTCCACAGGAAGCCTGCTTCTCCTTCTCCCTCTGCCCCTGCTTGTGTTCCCTCTCTTGCTGTGTCTCTCTCTGTCAAATAAATAAATAAAATCTTTTTTAAAAAGAGAGAGATAAAAATCTTATCTTGCCTTCTTCTATCTTTGTTAGGGAAGAACCCCGCCCTCTGGATCGTTAGGAGTAAACCTGCCATCCATTGGTGCTAAAAGTAGACCATATGATCAGAGTGAGCCTCAGCGCAGCAGACAGCAGGGGCACCACCATGATAGCTCTGGTTCTTATGCCCCCAAGTCCTGTGGCATGATGTGATGGGCCCAGATGGAGACCCTGTGCTCAGTGAGCTGCATCATAACTGAGAAACCCTGGGGCCCACTTCAGTGCCTTAACTCTTAGCAGTCAGAATGAAACAAGATTGCACTGGTGAATGCGTGAGGAGAGAGCTGAGATGTCAGGCCCAGCTGAGCAGTCCTGCTTTTTTGTTAGCTGAATAGCCCTGCCATCCTGAGGGTGTCCGGCACAGCAGAATAGTTCCAATGTGGCCAAGCCCAGATGAGTTCATAGCGCAGGGATGAGATGACAAACCCAGCAGCAGGGTCATAGTGTCACTTGCAGCTGCTGCTTGACTCACATGAACCATGTGACTGTTTTGTGATGCTGCAGTGCTGGGTGAAGGGGACAGAGAAAGCATTCCATGTTCCCACTCCTTCCCCCCGAACACACACACACACACCTTGTAGGGATGAAGGTATCCCATCATCAGGTATCAGGGTTATTGTTCCCTTTCCATGGCCACCTAGTTCATTTGGTCTAAGTCAGTAGCCACTACGTCTCTCTTCACTCAGCTAACTCCCACCTCCACCCAGACCTTCTTCCATTTCAGATGGGCACCATGGTAGAACTTGGTGGGACCGTGATGTCCCCTGTCATCAAGCAGGCCACTGGAGCGACACTCTAGGGCTCATGAATGTCACCAACTGATTGTTCTCCTCATGGTCAGTGCTCTTCCACCCCCAACAACTGAAACCAAGTTGTAGCAGAAGCAAAGACTGTAGTCACCTTCCCCCTGTGGTCTGACTGCCACCTTAAGATGAAACCAGCCAGGCTTCCCAGGCACTAGGACCAGAGGAGAAAAAAGAGGAGGGACTAGAGATTGTCCGGGTAGAATCATAAATATGGAGTACCCAGTCTCCCGTTGCTCCCACCCTTTCAGTACTGACCTTCTCTACTCAGCTGTTCCAAAGGATGTTCCCTTGGAAGCCTGATAAGCCATATGGCTGCATTCAGTCTCTCCTGGGTGTGGACCCTTTCTACAAGTGTCCACATGGGCTACATAGATGTCCTGTTGGGCTGTAGCAATGGCTTTTTCAAGTTCACAGCCCCACAGAGGGTTGTCTTTGCTATACCAGTCAGTCGTCATCCGGGTGCCTGACCTGAGAGCTAGGGCATTAAGCCACAGCCCAAGAGTCAGGAAAAATATAACGTGGGTGGTCCTCAGCAGTACTGCCTAGGGCAAGAGTGATGGCTTTCAGTTTGACCCATTGTACTGAGCCAGTCCTTACCACATGTTTGGGGCTGGACAGCTGCTGCCGCCCAGGACACACCATCAGCTTTTAGTTTGGCTGAGCCATCAGTAAGCCAAGCCCAAGCATCCTCAAGGACACTCTGCTAGTGGCTACGTAGCTGGAGGCTGCCCCTATGAGTGATCTAGGAGTGGGGGGCTACCATGGCCCCTAAAGCTGTGGCCACAATATCTTCATGTGAGGAGGACACACCTATGGGACTAGGCGTGCCATTTTCATTAAATAAGAAAAGACTACTGTGCCTTTCTGACTCTGTTAGCATTGAGTAGAGCCAACCTAAGATGAGAATATCTAGGTGCAGTGTAACCCGGAGGTACTGGGTGAGATGCTCAGTCTCTCCAAGTGCCTGCCCAATAGCAGACCAGTAGCTGTTTTGCAAATGGAATGTCGTGGGTAGGTGTCAGGGTGGCAGCAAGTCCAGAACCCCCTGGGATGCCTCCGAGCAGAAGCAGTCTCCCTTTGCCAAAGGTGTACAACAAGGGTCCAAAAACCAAGACTCAGATGGTTACAGTTAATTCCCTTCCTCATATTCATTTCCCATTTTGGCCAGGTGAATGCATGGCTGTGAACGAGCACTGGTAATTGAGTGAGTCATAAAAATTTTTATCCTGCTTCCTTGCCCTCCCTTCACCTCACTGTGCCCTCATTAGAGATTAAGGCCTCTGGTCTGCCCTGGGAGTGGAGAAACCTCAACCCCCATCCTCAGTCCCCTTTCTCCTTAAAGGCAGTTAAATCAGAATACAAAGTTGACAGTCAAGCAGTAAAAGTGCTGAAGGAGGAATTTGTTGTAAGTCAGCCACTTGGCTTCTTAGTTCTTCCAGTAGAGAGAATGATTTCTGTGGAGGAATCTGGTTTCATAGAGGCACTCCCCATTCCAGCTGGGTGGACAGCTCACTGTCTGCTGCCCCTCCTCCCATGGCTCAATATCCGGACCAAATTTCTTTGGTCCTCCCTCACCCTATCGATCTCCTCTGTGGGTAGCCCCTGCTTGAACAGCCATATCCACATTGCCTTATGGGTCCCTTTGAAGGGAGTTTGATATTCCCTTCCTAGTTTTGTCTTGCACTGCAGAGTCTTTGCCTTGTTTGGGCTGCCCATCTTTATCCCAGGCATTTTTTGGCTCAGTGTCATCACCGCCTACCACTGAGGGCCTCCAAGTACTAAAAGCAAAGATAGTGGGGTCTTCCACCCAACGTGGGGGTGGGGCAGACCACATCCTTTCAGCCATTCTCTGAAGTGAAGGGCTCATCATGGGGGCTTTCATTCTGTCCATTTTGTAGTCAGTCTGGAGCACCGACAGCACTCAGGCTCAGACATACCGGCCAGGTTTTCAACAGCTCTCCACTCATTAGCCAAAGCGGTCCCAGGTGTCCTCACCACAATGGCTCAACAAAAACTGATTTTTGTTGGACTACAGGTTTGTCCCTGGTGATCTTAAGCTGAGTAGGCTAGGATAATTTGGGGTTTCTACCAAGGTAGGGTCAGGACCCTCACTGCTCTGGACCAGGGCCCTTCACTCCGTAAAATGTGCACGTCTGCAGCCCCTTGTATCTCCCCTACTTGAGGCATTTCTATCCCGATAGTATGGGTTTTGCACTGAATCTGGACTCTGATGATCTCTTTGGCCCTTTGGTGTCAGATTTGTTATCCCATCCTGGGATTTTAGAGTTCCGATCAGACTTTGGTGTCCTCTGATGAAATATGTCTTTTTTTTTTTTAAAAAAAGGATTTATTTACTTGAGAGAGAGAGAGCACAAGCAGGGGGTTGGGGGAGAGGCGGAAGGAGAGGAAGAAGCAGACTCCCCGATGAGCAGGGAGCCCCACGTGGTGCTTGATCCCAGGACCCTGGGATCACAACCCAAGCCAAAGGCAGAATGCTTAACCAGCTGAACCACCCAGGCACCCCTGAAATATGTCTTTTAATACTATCCTCTGTGTTCTTCCTGTCTATCATCTTGTATGTTGTCTGAGAACTTGTGAGAAATTGGCCTTGGGAGAGATCTTTGTAAATATTCTGCCCTCCAGGAAGCTGCTGATTTTTCCAGTGAGCAGTTGAGGTGACTTAACATTATTAGAGTTAAGGGCCCAAGTCATTTGTGAGTGATATTTTTATGTTTAACTGAGCGTCAGGTAATTTCTCAGGGAGTTGTTTGCTAATAAACATACTAACTTCTGGCATAACTTCCCTGAGGATAATTTGGAATTGTAGTGCCCACCTTAGGTAACTTTGACATAAATAAGATTGTTCATCTGAGAGGTGCTTTAGAACAAAAGGAAAAAAACTCACGAGGAGACTATCCTGTCTGAAAAAGAGAAATCACATTATTTTTCCATACACTGTGTATTAGCAAGTACTGACTATTCAGCGGTATGACTTGATAAAATTATCAAGGCCCCAAGTTACTGGTTAAAACACCTCTAATGACTCTTGTGGGAAGGTGTATATAACCGTATGTCAAAATGGGTGTTTAGCTTTTACAGTGCTAACTTCATTCTGAAACTGGCTCCTTCTTTCCTTTTACAGTTTTTCTCTGCCTCACTTGGGAAATTTTAAAGATAATAATAAAAATTATTTTGTCATTAGGTGCATATTCTAGGAATATCTAATACAGATAGTTATAAATGTCTATGAGGAAGAAAAAAAAGAAAATAAACTGTGTTTCTTTCACTTTAAAAAACACGAAAAGTAAATCGTGGCCTTTTTTACTATAATTACAGGTAAGAAGAATGTCTTCTCTTGGTTTTAGTCTGTAAAATTAATGCAAGTCAGTGTTCTAGTTTATGCAACTAAGGCCAAACTTCTCATTATTTAAACTTCCTAAATTTCCTATATTGGTCTTATGGAACAAATACATTTTCATTGCACAAAATATTAAAGATTACAAAATAAAAAATGGTGTTTCACCAGATTACAGTTTAACAGACATCTTTTATCCAGATCTTTAGTTAATATCTGGTTAGGTTTTAAACGTTAGATTGAATTCATTGACAAATAATCATTGGATACTTGGACAATTTCTAAGTACAAAAATATATAAAACTTTGGTCACTAAATGTAGTTTCAATTTACTCTCATTCTTGTAAGTTATAAAACTGTTGTGAGTTAATGGAACATTCCAGTGCTTTAGATCATGTCCTTATTTTTCCCCATTAAAATTTATTAATATAATCTAAAAAGTGTATGCAGGGAAAATTAGCTAGAGGTTCTTGATTTCCTGTCTATTAGTTTTCTCTGGGTCTGGAGAAAACAAAAGTTGACTGTGTAGATTAAAGGAGATAATAAAAATAATTATACTATATACAATATAATAATTATATAAAATATGAATATGCATGCAGGAAAATAGATATGATTTATTTGTTACTTAAGGAAATTGCTAGTTTATTAAAATAGTGATTTCAATGTAATACCTATTTTAAGGGGCGCCTGGGTGGCTCAGTTGGTTAAGTGTCCAACTCTTGATTTCAGCTCAGGTCATGATCTCAGGGTCGTGAGATTGAGCCCCATGTTGGGCTCCGTGCTCAGCTCGGAGTCTGCTTGAAATTCTCTCTCCCTCTCCCTCTGCCCCTCCTCCCACTTGCTCTAAATAAATAATTAAATAAATAAAATCTTAAAAAATACATTTTAATATGTTAACACTATTTCTTAAAATTAAAGCCTTTAATTTTATTGTCTATTTACATTGCTATATATTTACATTCAAACACATTCATATGAAGGTATATTAAGGAGTGATGTCACTGAACATTGCAGAATCAGAGAACTCCAGGGCTGCATCCTTCCGCAGAAGCAACTAATGAGCTGACAAAAACTATCAGAATCAACTTTTGCAAAACTCTAGAATCTAGTCAAACAATTAAAACAACCAGAGGAAGGCTTGGTGAAGACAACAGCTGCTGAGTTATGGAAAGAGAGCACAGTGCATTTTAAATTGCCCACTTATGGTCTCCCATGCCCTAGATTGGCAGCACCCATGAGGACAGCAGCTCATACTCTGGGTGCAGGTTGCTAGTGCCTAAGAGAGCAATATGGACCTTATTCTCAAATAATTGTGGTTGTGGGTTTAGACTTGTCTGGTGGCTCTCTGAAGGACCTGCACAACGTTTATCTTTGTTTCTGGCAACTTGGAGCATTCCTGGACCACTGGCAGCTTCCTGAACAGCTTTTGCCCAAAGCATTTAGAGGCCTACGGATTGGCTGTAGCAGCCTGGGGGCAAGGGACAACAGTCAGGATGACAAACAGACCATAAAGCCTAGTAAGGAAGAGATCAGGAAAGAAGATACATGGGGAAATACGGACTTTTAGAAGCTCCCACATATACTTGGGAATCAAGAAGGCCACATGTTTGCCCAGGACCGGATACAAGCTCAGAAGAACCTCAAAGACCCTAAGCTTTTGCCTCCAGCTGGACTACAGCCTCCACGAAAGCAGGATGTGAAGGCTAAGGCAGGGTTGCAAATGAGCCTGGCTAAGCATTGGAGAAGTGCTCCCATATTGAGCCAATCCATGAAAACTGGGAGAGTAGTTTATTTTTTTCTTTTTCCTTCCTTCTTCCCCTTTTCCTTGTTCTCCTTCTCTTCTTCCTCCTTCCCTTTTCTTCCTCTTTCTTCTCTTTTGGTATTTAAGGAAACTGTCAAAACACTAACTGATCACAAAGCTAACAGAACAGAGGCTTAGGTAGCCACATGTGACAAAGAATACAGACTTTACAAAAATAGTTTAGAAAAGTCACTGAACAAGCAAGCAACAGTGTAGATCAATGGATTAGAGCTGAGAATTCAGAAATAAACCTGTGTATCTGTGGCTGACTGGTTTTTGACAAGAGTGCCAAGGCCGTTCAATGAGGAAGGAATTGTCTCTTCGACAAATGGTGCCAGACAACTGGATATCCACATGCAAAAGAATGCAATTGGAGCCTTACCTTATACTGTGTATAGAAGTTAATTCAAAAATGGATCAAAGACCTAAATGTAAAAGCTAAAACTATAAAACCCTTAGAAGAAAACATAGGGATAAAAATTTCATTACCCTAGATTTGGCAACGGACTCTTAAATTATGATACCAAAAGCACAAACAGTGAAAGAAAAAGGAGATACAGTGGACTGCATCAGAATTAGAAACTTTCCCACATCAAAAGACATTATCAGGAAAGTGAAAATACAGGGGCACCTGGGTGGCTCAGTCATTTAAGCGTCTGACTCTTGATTCAGCTCAGGTCATAATCTCAGGATTGTGAGATTGAGCCCCATGTCAGGCTCTGTGCTGAGCATGGAGCTTGCTTAAGAGTCTCTCTTGCCCTCGCCCTCTGCCCCTCCCCCACTCAAGCTTGCACTCTATCTCTAAAAAAAATAAATTTTTAGGGGCGCCTGGGTGGCTCAGTCGTTAAGCGTCTGCCTTCGGCTCAGGTCATGATCCCAGGGTCCTGGGATCGAGTCCCTCATCCGGCTCTCTGCTCAGCGGGAAGTCTGCTTCTCCCTCTCCCACTCCCCCTGCTTGTGTTCCCTCTCTCACTGTGTCTCTCTCTGTCAAAGAAATAAATAAAATCTTTAAAAAACAAAACAAAACAGAAAATAGCAAGTGTTGGTGAGGATGTGGAGTATTGGGGCCCCACAGGGCGTCGATGGTGGCAATGTAAATTGGCACAGCTCCTGTGGAAAACAGTTTGGTTGGTCTTCAAAAAAGCTAAGCTAACTATTGCCATATGACCCAGCAATTCCACTCTTAGGTAAATATCCAAAAAGAATTGAAAGTGGGTATATAATTACTTGTACACGGATGTTCACAGCAGCACTATTCCCAATAGCTGAAAGATGAAAACAAACCCAAATGTCCATTGACCAAGAATAGAAAAAATTAGTTTTTTTTGTTCTGGTTTTTTTTTTTTTTTGTAAAACCACCAACTAATTCTCTGCTAACAGAGGGTTTCTGTTATGACTTATTTAAAAATCGTAGAACATATTTTGTTAAACTCAAAATATTCTTTTTACTTTTTGTACTTATATCAAACTCTTAAATAATTTTGAAAAAAGTTTATTTTTTTAAGTTTAAATTCCTAAAAACAGCCACTGTTAATTATTACTGTGGTTTAAAAATATATATAACTGAATTTTCCATTTAAAAATTATGATTGCACAGTTAACAGGAAGTAATATTTCTCCCAAAGACATGCTATAGGTATAAAATGTCATAATAACCACCTTCTTTGGGTGACTACTGCTGCCATACTCACTGAGAAACTTTATTCTCTAAAATCATAGACTATCAGAAACTTGGCTTTTTCAAAATATATCTTTAAAAATACAACATCCCGTTCTTGCCTGGAGAATTTAAGTCACTTTGATCTAGAGAAACAGCTGCAATTATTACCGTAGGTGCAAAGCTTCAGGGAGGGGTTCTGGATTCAACATTGTACATATATCCTAACTTGGTAGATTCCAAGGAATCCAGGGGTTTACATTGCAGCTTAGAGCTGATTTTGGTCCCTTTACACATAGCCTTGCTTTGAGCCTACGGCTTCATTTAAATTTCACCTAAACTCCACCCTCCCCCCAAATCCTATAATGCCTCTATCTTATCCTTCATTTGATAAAATGTCTCATGGTTCCTCTGATGTGATCTCCCTCATTGCAGTGGGTTGATTAACCTGATTTTGTTACACTATAGGTTTGTTTTTGGTAGGCTGATGGGGGCTAACAGAGTAAAACTCCTACTTCCACAGATGTCAAAAAAGTAGGCAACAAGATTCAGTAAATCACAATGAGACATTTTATTCCAGCACAGCAAACAGTAGGAGCATCAGCATAGCAGTGCCAGTTCCTGTGTCCCCAAGTCTCCCGATGTGACATGAGAGGCTACATGCATAGTGGATTGTGCCACGGCTGAGGAACTCATCGAGAACTCGGCATGTTTTGTAGCAAGCATCAAACAAGCCTGTTCCCCATTCCAGGGAGCAAACCATCACATCGTAGTCATCTTTTGGTCACCCTGACTAACCTTACTGTATATGTGACTATAGAAACTAGTCAGTATCAGGGGATGGCCTTAGTGTGGAACACTTAGCAAGGCAATGTAAGGATGCTTGAGACCGGTGGTGACTACCTCTCCCATAAACCAATGGAAATATTTGTATAGAATTCACTTTCACTAGGCACCTGGGTGGCTCAGGTGGTTAAGTGTCTGACTCTTGATTTCAGCTCAGGTCATGATCTCAGGGTCCTGGAATCGAGTCCCACCTCGGGCTTTGCACTCACCGGGGAGTCTGCTTGAGGATTCTTTCTCTCTCTCCCCCTGCCCCTTACCCCCACTTGCACGCTCTTTCTCTCTCTCTCTCCCTCTCTCAAATAAATAAATCTTTTTCATAAAAGGATTCATTTTTACTTCAAAAAACTGTAGCCCATTATTTCTAGAGATTTTTGAACAAGAGAGAATGAGCCAAAAGGGAAGGAAACTCTAAGCTAAAAGCAAAGTTTAGAGAGAAAATGATGCTCCTCAAGAAAATGTGAATTATAACTTTGGTTTTTATTTGATACTTACGAAGGATGCCAAAATTAGTTCCTCTAATGTTATCAAAAGATTGTTGAATTAGTTACTATCGAGAGATAGGTAGTGGTATAGCAACATTCACTAAACCAAAGGCACAAAATAAGATTGCCAAATATTATGAGATTGTTGATTCTTCAGTAATTTCATTTATATGTGTTTTCTTAATTTTTCAGTTTTATCTTTTTGCTGACTCAAACAACCAGAAATGTATGTGTTGTATATTTAGTATATATTTTGTATGTATAGATGATATTGAACCCAAACGATCTGATTTTGAAGGCCACCAAGATATAAAAATATATGTGGATAAATCTATACCTTGAAATCTGATACTGGGTTAAGCTTTTATCATCCCCTGGAATCATTGCATGACAATTTCTTCACTGCAGAAAAGTTAGACTACATTGCAGCAAAGTAACAGTTCTGTCATGCTGAATTTCCATACTGGTCAATTATTTCCACTTTATGTATGTTGTGTTCAATTATTCTGATACTGTAGGTCATTATTTAATGCCAGAGTATTTTCTCTTTGACAACAGGACACTTTTGCAGATAGAACAAATAATAAATAGATTTAAGGGCCCATGCAGAAACCTGTATTGATGAATAATGCCACCTAACAGTAAACCCATCTGTCTCTGGTATGTAGTTGTCACAGCCCATTTACAGACTTTCCCAGATCTGGTCTGACCTCAGCCAAATACTAGATTAGGTTTCAAAATCATTAGGACTGTGGGCACTGACCGGAGAAAAACAGAATAAATAAAACTCTGCCTGAGTAAAAACTAGTTCTACTTTATTTTTAAAATTCTTAAAGCCAGAATATCTTCCATTGTATCAGCTAGGAATGATTCTGGGTGCAAGAACAATGTGGCCAGCAATGGATGGGAGTTCATTTTTCTCACATAACAAGGTGTCTGGAGATTTGCAGCTGCTGGGGAATTTTTTTTAAGATTTTATTTATTATTTTAGAGAGACAGAGTGTGGGGGAGGGAGCAGAGGGAGAGGGACAAGCAGACTCCACATTGAGTGTAGAGCTGGACATGGGGCCTGATCCCACAACCCTGAGATCATGAGATCATGACCTGAGCTGAAACCAAGAGTTGGATGCTTAACCAGCTGAGCCACCCAGGTGCCCCAGGAACTGGTTTAATGTCTTAACTATATCAGGATTCTCTGCTCCATAAGTTCATGATCAGAAGATGGTTGCTGCAACTCCAGACATGGCATGAAGTAGAGAAAAAGAGATGGTCCCAGGATATTTGTCCT